CACTGGGTAGTGTTTTTGCTTTGGCTCTGTCTCTTCATTCTTTCTGGAGTTATTTTTCCACCAATCTCCAGTAACATATTGGGCACCTACCGACTTCAGGAGTTTATCTTTCAGTGTCATAACTTTTTGCCTTTTCATACTATTCATGGGGTTTTCAAGGCAAAAATACTGAAGTGGTTTGCCATTCTCTTGTCCAGTGTACCACATTTTGTCAGAACTCTCCACTATGACCCATCCATCTTGGGTGGCCCTACACAGCATGGCTCATGGTTTCACTGAGTTAGACAAGGCTGTGGTCCATGTGATCAGTTTGATTAGTTTTCTGTGATTGTGGTTTTCATTCTGTCTGCCCTCTGAGGGATAAGGATAAGAGGTTTAAGAGGCTTATGGAAGCTTCCCAATGGGAGAGACTGGCTGTGGGGGAAACTGGGTCTTGTTCTGATGGGTGGGGAAAAGCTCAGTAAATCTTTAATCCAATTTTCTTTTGATGGGCGGAGCTGTGTTCCTCCCTGTTGTTGACCTGAGACCAAACTACGGTGGAGGTAATGAAGATAATGGTGACCTCCCTCAAAAGGTCCCATGCCCCTGACCCTGTGGCAAGCAACCACTAACCAATGCCTCCGCTGGAAACTCCTGGACACTCACAGGAAAGTCTGGGTCAGTCTCTTGTGGGGTCACTGCTCCTTGCTCCTAGCTTCTGGTGCACACAGGTTTTGTTTGTGCCCTCCAAGACTCTGTTTCCCCAGTCCTGTGGAAGTCCTCCTACCATCTTGCAGGGGCTGCTCCTTTGCCCTTGGACATGGGGTAGCTTCTCCTGCTGACGGTTGTTCAGCAGCGAGTTGTGATCTTGTAGTTCTCACAACAGAAGATGAGTGCACATCCTTCTACTCCACCATCTTGCTTGCATCTTAGGCTACAGTACACGGGTCACAAAGAGTCAAACATGACTGAGTGACTAATACACACACAGGAAACTAAGATCCCACATGCTTTGGGGCAACCAAGACTGGATGCCACATAGAGAGCATGTGCACCTCACTCAACCAAGACCCAGCACAGCCAAAATATTTTAGAAAATAAAAAATAAAGGGCCAATGTGTTTACTGATCGAATGGAGGAGGGACAAGGGGAAAACTAGAAAAAGAGAAGTGAGTAACTTACGCAAAAAAAAAAAAAAAAAAAAGCCACGTCATCCCCAGAATTCATGAGATGGGTACTGAGTTTGAAGACAATCAGTTCAGTTCAGTTGCTTAGTCGTGTCCAACTCTTTGCAACCTCATGAATCCCAGGACACCAGGCCTCCCTGTCCATCACCAACTCCCGGAGTTTACCCAAACTCATGTCCATCGAGTAGGTGATGCCATCCAGCCATCTCATCCTCTGTCATACCCTTCTCCTCCTGCCCCCAATCCCTCCCAGCATCAGGATCTTTTCCAGTGAGTCAACTCTTCACAACAGGTGGCCAAAGTATTGGAGTTTCAGCTTCAGCATCAGTCCTTCCAATGAATATTCAGGACTGATCTCCTTTAGGATGGACTGGTTGGATCTCCTTGCAGTCCAAGGGACTCTCAAGAGTCTTCTCCAACACCACAGTTCAAAAGCATCAATTTTTTGGTGCTCAGCTTTCTTCACAATTCAACTCTCACATCCATACATGACCACTAGGAAAACCATAGCCTTGACTAGACAGACAGACCTTTGTTGGCAAAGTAATATCTCTGCTTTTAGTAAGGTTAAAAAGGTATGAAGATGGATAGAAGACAGCAGTGACATCCACATAAGGGTTATTTCTTGTACTGAGAAGCTGAAAACCTCCAGATTCAAGAGGAAGGGTGGAAGAGCAATATGTCCTAATTCTGAGGTTTCTGGGGACCAGATAGATATTGGTTCCTTTTACCAAAGCAGAAAATCCAGGAGGAAGAAGTAGGTTGGGGACAGAGCACAAATTCAGTTTGGATCACCATGAAGTACCCTTAAGACAAGAAATGTCAAGTGGGCAATTAGACAACACGTATCTGGAACTCATAGAGACTGCTGAGCCAGAAACTCAAATTTAAGGGTCATCATGATATGAATGGTGCTTAGAGATGGCAGCAGTCATAAGCAGGGGCAAGCTCTCCCTGCAAGAGTGGAGCACGAAGGAAAGATCTGAGAGGAAACCTTGAGGCAGCACAAGCAGCCAGGGAGAGGAGGATGAGCTGGAAAAGTAGACTGAAAAGAGCCTGAGGCATGGGGGGATAAAATTGTCTGGTGTCAAGGGCACCAATGGGAAGCCACAGCCCCATCAGATGCTGCTAATAGAATGCTGTAACTGGGTAAAGAGGACTTCCCTGGAGGCCCAGTGGTTAAGACTTTGCCTTCCAGAGCAGTGGCGCAGGTTCAATCCTTGGTCCGGGAACTAAGATCCCATGTGCCAAGGGGCCAAAACACAAAACATAAGCAATATTGTAACAAATTCAATAAAAACTTTAAAAATGATACACACACACACACACAAACCCTTAAAAAAAAGTGGGCAAAGGACTTGAATAGAACACTTCTCCAAAGAAGAAACAAAAGTAACCATCAAGCACATAGAAAGATGTTCAACATCATAACTGTTAGGAAATGCAAGTAAAAACCACAATGAGATACTACCTCCCACCCACAGAAGCTGAGAAAGAGGGTCATTTTCAGAGAAGGAACCAACCTTGCAGATGGTGGTCTCTGACTTCTAGTCTCCAAAACTGAGATCACACATTTCTGCTTTATTAAGCCATCCAGTTTCTAGGACTCTGTTACAGCAGCCCTACCAACTAATACTTTGCCTTCAAGTATTTCCATCCTAACCTATAAGGGTTGGCTCTTCACATTAGGCAGCCAAAGTATTGAAGCTTCAGCATCAGTCCTTTCAATGAATATTCGGGGTTGATTTCCTTTAGGATTGACTGGTTTGCTCTCCTTCCAGAGAGCCAACTCATGGGAAAAGACCCTGATGCTAGGAAAGATTGAGGGCAGGAGGAGAAGGGGATAACAGAGCATGAGACAGTTGGACAGCATCACTGACTCAATGGACTTGAGTTTGAGCAAACTCTGGGAGACACCGAGGGACAGGGAAGCCTGGCATGCTGCAGTCCACGGGGTCACAAAGAGTCAGACACAACTGAGTGACTGAACAACAACAGCTTATAAGAACTGATCTGGGGAAGGACACTTGGATCCAGGGTTCCCATCTGGTCTGGATGGCTCACAGAGCGCAAGAAAGAGAAAGGCCTTGAGAAGCTTCTGTCTTCTGGGTGAGTCACTACAGGTAGATGGTCCCACAAATAAATCAAGTCTATCACTTGTTTCTTTTCACCACTGTCAGATTTACCAATACCATCTTACACAACCCTCAGAGCCTCATGCAGAGTTAGTATTACATTCCAAAGAAGGAAACTAGGGTCCAGAGCCATGAATTGCTCCCAAGGCCAGACAAACATGAGACGTGTGCATGCGCACGTGCGTGTGCTCGCGCACGTGCGTGTGCTCAGTCGCTCAGTCTCATCCGACTCTTTGTAAGCCCATGGACTGTAGCCCACTAGGGTTCTCTGTCCACAGGATTTCCCAGGCAAGACTACTGGAGTTGGTTGCCATTTCCTTCTCCAGGGGATCTTCCCGACCCAGGGATGGAACCAGCTTCTCTGGTGGCTCCTGTATTGGCAGGCGGATCCTTTAGCAGTGAGCTATCTGGGAAGTTAAATCCAGGTCTGTCTGACTCCACCATCCAATCCACTGCCTGAGTCTCCCAGAGGCTGCTGGCCTACACCCTCTCCAGAAGGGAGGAGGCGCTGACATGAGGGCTTCTTTCCTTTCCATTGCTGCTTCAGGACAGTTGCTTCCTCCCCTTCTTGTTAAAACCCCCAGACTTTGGGGGTTTTATTTCTCTCTTTCTATCTTTTACATGTCGTCTTCCCCTGACAACCATACCAAGCTCCTGGAGGACTGTGTGGGCCCAAAGTGACGTAGCCCCTGCCTGGTCCACCAGTCTCCTTTCTCTTCGGGTGCAACCAGCCCTGTTCCTTCTCTGTTCCCCACACACACCCGACATTCCCCAGCCTCCTGGTCTCTGCGCTTGATGGGCCCTCCACCTGCCCCGTTCTCTCTCAGCTTTGCTGGGCCCCTCTGCTCCTCCCAGGGTGGCTGAACATCCACCGGACCGAGCCCCTGCCCTGTCTCCCGTATGTTCTCATTCACTCAGGTTCAGCTGTCCCTGTCAATCACCTGGCTTGGACTCTGAGGTGGGGCAGAGAGGGAGGCCAGTTCCTGACCCATGGAGCTGGTGCCCTGGTGAGAAGAAGGGGTGAAGACTCACAGGACCGCGTTGAGCCGGAGGTCAACCCTTGCCTGCTGAGGTTCCTGATTTCCACTCTTGGTGGAAGAAAGACTTTATGAAGAAAAAGCCTAGACTCCCTTCTAAAGCTGGTTGTCTCATGTCCAGACGCTGTTGCCAGGGAACTACTGATTATGAGAAGTAGTCAAAGGCCACATGTAATTTCAGGTGAGGCCATGAAATGGGCTTGGATCACCTGTGGGCCGTGTGCGAGCTTCTCTGATTCTGCACAAAGGCAGCAGGCAGGCGGAGGCCCCGCGTCCCCAAACTCCGGACAGGAGTCCTAAAGCTGAGCGCCCAAGAGGGACAGGTCAAGTCCACCCCTGGGGGAACGGGCCTGCTGAGGGGGTGAGGGTAGGGGCGGTGTGGAGAGTCAGCCCCATCGAAGGCCAGCCTGCCCAGTTCCACAGGGAAACAGGGCCTCCACAGCGAAAATGGACCCATACTTCAGAGAAGCCAGAAAAAATGCATTTTAAAACCGTATCTTCAGACACTTCGTTTGGGGCTGACGCAAATCCCTGCTCTGCTCGTTAGGTGAGAATTCTGGCCCGAATATGGCCCAGGGCTGTCAGTTAATCTTCACAGGGGCGACAGCACCGCCTCTCTCTCCTTCAGCTTTACACCCGGCCCTGACCTCCCGCCTTCCCAGGATGCCCCATGGCAGGTGGTGGTTACAGCGCATCCCCCACATCCGGGTCCCTGAAGACGCCGGCGGTAGAGCCGGAAGGAGGTGGACTTCACTGCCGTCCAGCAGTGACGCGCGGTGGGAGGCGTCCTCCGAACGCCCGGTGGGAGGCGTCCTCCGCCACACACCTGGAGTAGGGCCGAGGCTCAGAGAGAGGCTTCCGGGGAGAGGTGGGGAAGGCATGGCGGGAGCGGGGTGCACAGGAGGGGAGGTGGGAGAGGATGGGGGAGTGGAGGGGAAGGTGAGGAGAGGAGGAGGTGGGGCTCTGAGGAGAACTGTGGGGGGCAGAATTGCGGTTTCCACGGAGGTGACCGCCGCCCGCGAAACAGCCACACTGTAAATGAGGTTGACGGTGTGTGAAGCGGAAAATGTCACCAGCAGAGGAGAGACGCGGTGAACTTTCATTCTGATTTAAATGAATGGGAACTCAAGGAGAGAAAATCCTTGCAATGTTCTAAGGACTGCGCAAGGTTAGGGTGTGGGCCCAACGGCACCGCTCTGCTCCGGGTGATCCACTTCTGTGCACCATGCTTGTTCACGGCTGAGGCAGAAATAACTTAGACACAGAAATGCTTCAATTCTTGGGATGTCATCAACCTCCCGGGCTTTGGGCTCCACGCTCACAGACTCCTTTTCTCCTTCCCATTCTTCGCAGTCATGACCCGGAGCCTCACAGGAGGCCGAGACCAGCCCTGCAGCAAAGAAGCAGCGATGGGGTGGCTGACCAGCTGGCGGCCAGGGGTGCTGTCGTCTGTGCGGCTGCGGAAATCAGCAGCAACCCTGTGAAATGTCTCATTGTGGACAACACAGGAGGAGGGGGCAAGCCCCAGACAGCAGTTAGGGAAGGATTGCTTCTGAGAGGATCGAACCACGGCGTCTTAGGAACAAGTGTGGCCAGGCCCCGCAGGGTGGGTCTCTCACCTGGGTGGGAGGAAGGGACGTCACCCACTGAAGGAGCGGGTGGCTGGTGGTCCACCTCTTCTGGGCACGTCTCCCTGCTTACACACGCGCTCTCTGTTCACTCACCTCCCTACAACCCTACAGGAACAGATGCTAAAGTGGACCACACCTGCTGGGGAGAAATCATGCCACCTATTTCCTTTCTGCACTTATTACCCTCAAAAGTTACACTCACAGAGTAAATGCTGTGCTGTGATTAAGTCATGTGGGACTCTGCTACCCCACAGACTGTAGCCTGCCAGCTTGCTCTGTCCATGGGGATTCTCCAGGCAACAATACTGTGAGTGGATTGTCATGCCCTCCTCCAGGGGGGATAGTCCCAACTCAGGGATCGAACCCAGGTCTCCCACACTGTGGGCAGATTCTTTACTATCTGAGCCTCTCGGGAAGCCCAAGAATACTGGAGGTGAGTAGTCTATCCCTTCTCCAGGGGAACCTCCCAACTGAGGAATCAAACCGGAGGCTCTTGCATTGCACACAGATTGCTTATCAGCTGAGCTGCCAGGGAAGCCGGTAGATACCTGACACTAATAACCTGAAGTGAAGTCTTAGGAAGCAAGGTGGGAAGGCTGTGTGGACACTAAATCATGATCCAACAAGAAGTCCTGACAGAAAAGAAGGCAAATGGATTAGAGGACGAGAGGGAGACTGTTACTGCAGGAACGTTTTTGAGATGTTTGGGATGCTGAGATGGCTGTTAGCAGAGAGCTGAGGATCATTGCCTTCAGAAGCCTGAGGAGCAAAGAGGTAGGTGAGGAGCTGCCAGGAGAACTAGCATCTTCAAATAAGAGACATAAGCGTAATGGACACCTTACATTACACTTATGTCTCTTAAGTAAAGAACCTCTTGATGAAGGTGAAAGAGGAGAGTGAAAAAGTTGGCTTAAAACTCAACGTTCAAAAAATGAAGATCATGGTACCTGGTCCCATCACTTCATGGCAAATAGAAGGGGAAAAAATAGAAACAGTGACAGACTTTATTTTCTTACGCTCCAAAATCACTGTGGATGGTGACTGCAGCCAAGAAATTAAAAGACACTTGTTCCTTGGAAGAAAAGCTATGATGAACCTAAACAGCATATTAAAAAGCAGAGATATTACTTTGCTGACAAAGGTCTGTATAGTCAAAGCGATGGTTTTTCCAGTAGTCATGTACAGATGGGAGAGTTGCACCCTAAAGAAAGCTGAGCGCCAGAGAACTGATGCTTTCAAACTGTGGTGTTGGAGAAGACTCTTGAGAGTCCCTTGGACTGCAAGGAGATCCAACCAGTCAATCCTAAAGGAAATTAGTCCTGAATATTCATTGGAAGGACTGATGCTGAAGCTCCCAATACTTTGGCTACCTGATGAGAAGTGTTGACTCGTTGGAAAAGACCCTGATGCTGAGAAAGATTGAAGGCAGGAGGAGAAGGGGACGACAGAGGACGAGATGGTTGGATGGCATTGCCGAGTAGATGGACATGGGTTTCAGCAAACTCAGGGAGGTAGTGAAGGACAGGGAAGCCTGGCATGCTGAAGTCCATGGGGTTGCAAAGAGTTGGATACAACTGAGTGACTGACCACAACAAAGTGTGATAGGAACAAGTGATCCTAAGTGGCTCATCCAGACTGCTCTGCGATAGTGTGTGTTAAATGTGCCCCAAGGGAGCTGGGGCAGAAAAGGGAAAACTATACATGAAATTAGGGTGGTCTTATGACACTGCACTGGCGTCACATGGGCTAGCCCTCAGGTTTACTTTGAATCAAAGGGCATTATTTTTAAAAAGATAATTTATTAAAACTCATCGTAACTTTGTTCAGAGTCTGGGAACAGTTCCTCTGTGGACAGGCGATGGAGATCACACCACTTCCTCTCCCCAGGACAGCCTGCAGCTGTGAGCGGCCTCCCCTCCATAGGGATGGGCATTCTCCTCCGTTAGGGACAACTTCCGGCCAGTTAGCTGAACAGTTCCAGCACTGCCTCCCGGTAGGACCAACCTCTTCTGAATTTCAAAGCAAGTGTCTGTTGCCTTTTCATGGGCAGTGTTTAGTTTCCTGACTACTGAAAGTTCCTTAAGACATAGAAGAATCCCACACCTCCTCATGTCCTCCACCTTCTTGCTTGTCAATCACTCTGTGAGCAGAGGGCTTTGTAATGACCTCAGCCCTGCACCGCAATTCCTTTCCAGTCCCAAGAGCTAAGAAATAGCCATTTCGATGTCTGTGAGTTTTGAGGAAAACTAGTATTTTCAGTCAGTAACAACAGACATGTGACTGTGTTTGAAAGGGAGAAAGTACTCTGAGAATGGATATTAATAACAAATAACTGCCCTTGCTATTTGTTACTTGGGGCTTCTCTGCTGGCTCAGATGGTAAAGAATCTGCCTGCAGTGTGGGAGACCCAGGTTCAATGCCTGGGTCGGGAAGATCCCGTGGGGAAGGAAGTAGCAACCCACTCCTGTATTCTTGCCTAGAGAATCCCATGGACAGAGGAGCCTGGCGGGTTATGGTCCTTGGGGTCACAAAGAGTCAGACACAACTGAGCGACTAACACACACACACACGACTGCCCTCTGGCCATGCTTCCCAAGGCCATCTGTTCCAGGCAGGGTCTACAAGGAGGTAGAGTGACATCCCTTGGCCCCTGGCCCATCTGTACCCCTCGGCCACCAGGAGAATGTCCCACCTCCTTTCCTCTAGAGGAGGTACGTGTTCATGCCAAGGATGCTGCTTCTTGCTGCTTTTGGAGCAGCCCCCCCGCCCCCCCACCACCACGGCTCTCTGTGTGGAAACCACACGGGCTGAGCTCCTGTTGAGGACAAGGATGATGGTGATGATGAGGCTGGGCTGCCAGCCCTGCAGGTGCCCCCCTGAGCTGGGAGCCAACTGGAGGAAAAGCCTCCTTCCTGTTTGGATGGGTCTGTGCATAGCTGCAGGGCTCCCCAAACCCATGGAGATCTGGGGGGCATTTCTTTGCTGTCATAGTTTGGCATGGGCTCCCCTCTGTGTTCTTGGGCTCCCATGATGGCTCAGACAGTAAACAATCTGCCCACAGTGCAGGAGACCCGGGTTCAATCCCTGGGTCAGGAAGATACCCTAGAAAAGGGAATGGCAACCCACTCCAGTATTCTTGCCTGGAGAATCTCATGACTGAGGAGCCTGGTGGGCTACAGTCCATGGGATCACAGAGAGTTGGGTATGACTGAGTGACTCACACACACACACACACCCCTCTGTGTGAGCCATCTCAGTGGGCAGAGAAGGTGGGGAACACCTACAGGTCCTCCAAAGGAGTCTGAACCTTTGAGTAAACATCAGTTGAGTTCAAAATGAGACCCACCAGCAGTTCCCTGGCAGTCTAGGGATTAGGACTCCAAGCTCTCACTGCCAAGTCCCAGGTTCAATCCATGGTGGAGAAACCAAGATCCTATAAGCCTTGCAACATGGCAAAAAAATAGAAAGAGAAGGAGACCCTCCAACCCCATGGCTTTTCTGTGACTGGTAAGAGCTTATGAGGCTCATCTCATGCCTGTTACCTCACTAAGTTCTCACAGGGTTCAGAGAAACCTATGGTCCTATTTTATCTACTTTGACCAATGAGCAGAGAACCAGAGAAGTTAAGCAACCTGCCCAAGTTTGCACAGCTTTCAGTGATGAGATGGAAGATATGAGTTCAGGTCTGATTCCAAACCAGGTGCTTTTTACAGCTCAGAGTTTTACTTCGTTTTGATCTCTGATGGGGAGAGGTGAAACTGGGGCAAACTTGTTTCCACAACGAGGATCAGAGAAGTCATCCAGTGTGGTTTTCATGTCTCTTTTCTGTTTTCAATAACCACAACTGTGATACTGTGATCAGTTCTCTGGAACCACATGTCTTCCTAAGAAGCAGAGGCTTGTAATTCAAGAATCCACTTGGCCTTGGCCCCATGAACGGTCCACCACCCTGGTGCCGCCGGAGAATGAGGTGCAGTTCTGGGTCACGGCCCAGCGGGGTGCAGGGTCTGCTCCTGAGGCTGAGTGGGGACCTCTCCCCCAGTCTGCCTTCCCCACGTTCACAGGTCAGCTTACTCAAAGCATGAGAGGGTTTCGTGTCCAGATATTAATAGCATCCAGCCAGCCAAAATTTGGCCCGTGGGGTGATCCTAAGGCTCTTGTGGAAGACATCGCTGTCCCCAGGTTTTAGTTTAGTGTGTGTGGAAGTGTTAGTCTCTCAGCCGTGTCCGACTCTTTGTGACTCCATGGACCATAGCCCGCCAGGCTCCTCTGTCCATGGGATTCTCCAGGCAAGAATACTGGAGTGGGTTGCCATTCCTTTATCCAGGGGATCTTCCAGACCCAGGGATGGAACTCGGGTCTCCCACATTGCAGGCAGATTCTTTACTGTCTGAGCCACCAAAGCCCCCATCCTACAATCGCCGCCGCCCCACCCCACCCCCCACCCCTGCCCAAGCATACAGAATGGAACAGGCAGCTCTCCCAACCTTGGAAACCACCACCGGGGAGCAGGCTTTCATCTTGAACTCTGGAAACAAAATCTCCATGCTTCATTTCTTCACAGGTATTGAGATCGAGGGATAAGAATATACACAGTCTGGGCTTTTATGTTTTTAGGGCAAATCAGAAGACTGACTTGTTCACTTGGAAATTTCCTTGATCACTCTGAAGACTATTCTTAATTGCAAAAACAACTCCATGAAGATGGCAGCTTTCTGATTTCCTCCCCACACAAGGAGATGGCCCCTCCTGGTCCAGCACGGGACCCTCTTTCTGGGTGGGATTCACCTGAGACAGCGCAGGGGTCCAGGGACCTGCATTCAGAGACCGAGCTGTAGTGCAGGGCTTCAGAG